TGGAAAACAGGGGCGGGGGGGAGCTGCGGGGCTGCCGGAAGGCAGCGGGGAGGAAAGCAGGAGGTGCCCAGAAACGTGGGTGGGTAAAGCAGAGCTCCAGACGAAAGCATTGTAGGACTACCCAGGGGATGAGGTTTTATTAATTATGCAGACGAGGTTCAGAAGAGCAGGCAGCGCTCCCAGGATGCAAGAACCTGGGAGCAGCCCCTTTTCGACGCTGATTCTGAACAAAACAGACTTCTCCCCGTGCTCGTGCTGTTCTTGCAAAAGAACTGTTTTAACGAAGCCAAAACAAAGGTTTCTGCACTTGCGTGAGACAGTTAATCCCTCCCGCTGGAAAGAATGATTGATTGAAAGAGAGAAAAAGCAGAAACTGAAATAGTCTTGTAAAATATCTTTATTAGTTCACTATAAGATTGGAAGTACAAAAGCTTCCAAGTAAAACACTGTCAAATGAAAAAGATGCACAGGAAAAATGGTTAGAAAGTTGCTCATGAATTGCAAGCATCCAGTGCTAAATAACAAGTCTTTCAACTAGGCAAGAAATCCTTCCTGGTGTCCTGTATTGCCACACCACGCCTGAAACTCAGATGAGGAAACTCCTCATGAGGAGCAGCCAAGGTGCAGCCCCGGCTCGGCACGGGGACAGCAGGCGGTGCAGGGCCGAGGCTGCTGCTCTCGCAGCCTCCCTTGTGCATGTGCCGAGTCCTGCTCGTGGCACTGGTAATTAGCACTGCCAGACGAGGTTGCTGTGCCCAGGATGCTATAATAAGCAGTGACTGTTGGTTTTTTATTCCACAGGGAACGGTACTTGAGCCCACTGCCTGCTCAGGAATACCCAGGTACTTGTGGATGCCGGTGGTGCAGACACGGCATCTAGCCTGTCTCTAGGAGCACACCCCTCCGAACTGCATGCAGACAATTCGCTGCCATTGCAGTTAAAAACCACATGATGCTCGAGGGTGCCACGGAGTGTAACTTGCAGGAGAGTTTAAGTCTGTTGTACAGGTAATAAGACATGTAGGAATATTCCTACAAACATTCAAAACTTTTCCCTCTCAGGTTACTGCCATTGCAGCCCTTCCAGATATTTCAAGGAGAAACATGCCCTTAAAGTTTAGATAGTTGTTTAAAAAAGGCACCATTCTAGGTTTTTAATGCTTTTAAACAAAGAAAAGCCACTGTATTTACCACTCCACCACTCTCCTTTTTCTAGCTCATAGATGTTTTTATCTTACATTACCACTAATGATTGCTAATAATAATAATAACAAATAAAAGAACAAGTGACCAAAACCACTGATCTCATGCTCTGGAAATATATATGGAAAGAGAAGGTCCAGGTCTGCTTTCTAGGTTTCGTACATGTGTCCTTGGGGGACCCCTCTCAGCGGAGCCGAGTGCCGTGCAGCCCTGGGCTTCACCCCCCCACCCCGAGC